TATATATATATATATATCATTAGTAGATTCCCTACTATTAAATTGTAATTTTTTAAAATTTAAGTAAAAAAAATTTTTTTTGGGTGGGGGGTGGGGGTTGTTACGTCACGCTAACACTAAACAGTTAAACAAGTAAAAAAAATTGTGCAATCTAACACTTGTTACATCACAATTAACTAAAAATTTAGCTTTGCTAATGCTAAACATTTTTAGCAGAAGCTAATGCTAATCAAGTAAAACTTAGCGGAAGCTAACACTAAACAGTTAAACAAGTAAAAAAAAAAATTGTGCAATCTAACACTTTATACTGTGCTAAATTTAACCCCAAAACTCATTCATAAAGTTGTAGGGTTGTATTTTACACAGGAGTAAATTTTGGTAGATTTTATTTTATTTTTTTGTGAAAATAATCTGTTTCCCCACCAGAGGGTACACTGCAAGAACTGAAAAATCATGAAGTCGGTATGAAATTAAGAGTAGCATTTTACACAAGGATTAGATTTTTTTTTATGTTTGTTTTTTTTAAGTTCAAAAGATGGGCATCGYATCATACATGAGTAAATACAGTAATCGCTAACTGCTAAGACGACTGTCACTCAATCTGCATCACCAGTCTTCGTCTCATTGGAGCTAAAGTCTGGTGGGACTGACATAAACGTATTGATTGATGTTAGCTTGTTAGCTCTTACCGCACTTAATGTTGCCAAAATCTAATTTCACGTAATCTAATCATTCYGCTAACAKTTTTTAAAGTTAGCATATAAGCTAATCTGCYATTAGCTGATAGCTGATTAGCAGAACCATGCACTGGATATATATTTTGRCCAGTTCACAAGTCTATCTGAATAAAAAAGGAGCTGGTAGAAGTAATATTTACTTCCCTTTCCCACTTTTAAATATAATAATGATTCCTATTTTAATTAAACCTTCTTACTTTATACATCATAGTCACAGCAGAATTGAACAATAGCTTATTTAAAGTGCCWGTAACACAATTTTTGTAATAAATATGAATGCATTTTTGCACAGATAACATTGAAARCATGTTGCAAAAAAATTTCATGTCGCTGCGWTAAACAGTTGAGATATTTGCATGTGAAGAAACAGGAAGTGATGTGAAAGGAGAATGTCTGCATGTGAACAGAGCATTAACAACACAGACTGTAGAGAAGAATCTGATGTTTCTTTAGTTTGTGTCACTATCAGAGAAAGATGAAAAAGAGTCAGAGTTCAAATAAWATTCATTCAATAAACATAAAACAGCGTTCCTTTACTTAAAGATTTACCCTTTGGTGTTACTTCCTGTTTCACTTTGGCTGAGCCAAGTTCTAAAGTAAATATGAGTTATGTGACAAAATTGTTAAAATCATGTGTATTAAGTTTCTTAAATCTAAAGTTACTGGCACTGTAAAACCTGTGTTTCACCACATTGCTAAATGCCTTTTTTCCACCATATAACAACTCAAAATGACAAGTTTGTATTTTTTAAACAGATTTTTGTCCTTTCTTTGCTAATATGCTAAGCAAAAAATTAGTTCCACTTATAGCTAATGAAATCCTGCCCACCACTGGTTTACAGTATGTTAATGTTTTTATTTTTTTGCTTCCCTCTTTTTTTTATTTCATGAAAGATTTCCTGTCAGAAATAACAAATCTCCCTGCTGTTTCAGTGTTTAACGGCCTGCTTTTTTTGTTCAGAACATGCAGGTGTTCATTTTCACATCTGTCCTATTCTGAACGACTTTGTTAGGAGATATGGAGACAAAGTATTTACTCGAGGGGGAGTGAATAGTTTTCTCTTTTTGGGTTCTATTTCATGTTTGTTTCTAGACAATAAAAATGGAGAAAAACGGAGAAATTAATTGTCATTTCTTTCCATTGTTGCCCCACGCCGTTACTTTAAAAGCTGGATGAATTCTCTGTCAACGTGCAGCTGGACAGACAGCTGCTTCACGCTCGCTCCTCTGTGTGTTTCTGTCCAGTTGTTTCGGAGCAGGACAGCGCCGCGGCCCAGCAGTACAGCAGGCGGGGTTGTCCCACGGGGCTGCGGGCGGACCTGTGGGCCCTCATCCTCAACTCCACAAACCAGCCGCAGGTACGGCAGCAGACGTGCGCATTTAACGGCTCATTTTGCCCTGCAGCGGCTGCTGTCAGTGTTTGTTGTAAACCAGCCGTTCACACACAGCTGCATTCATTCCCAAGCTGAAGTCCTCAGCTGCAGCCTCGTTCTTTTTTTTTTAAATCGCTCTCATTTTCAGTATTTTCATGTCCCCGGCTTTTACACAACATAGTAAAAAACACCTGACATATGCAGCGGGTAAAATAAGTGTTGAACACGTCACCATTTTTCTCAGTAAATATATTACTAGAGGCGCTAATGACATGAAATTTTCACCAGATGTTGGTAACAACCCAAGTGATCCATACATACAAAGAAATCAAACCATAAATGTCCAGAAATGAAGTTATTTGTAATAATGTGGAATGGCACAGGGAAAAAGTATTGAACACATGAAGAAAGGGAGGTGTAAAAAGGCATGGAACAACCTTATTGTTGCAAAGCATAATGATGGCATCGGTTACAGAAGAATGTCTAAACTTCTGAAG